CCTACATTGCTGCTTTTCATGAGGTCTACGGCTTGGAGAAGATGAGGCCAAAAACACATTACATGCTGCACTTAGTGCAGCAGTACAGAGACCACTGTCGGATGCTGGATGCTTTCGTTCTCGAGCGCAAACATCGCGCCGCAAAGACCAAAATCGAGCATCTGTCCGGAAAGGGACACAATTCGGTGGTGTCCGTGCTGCACTCCCTTTGGAGTCTGCAGATTTCCGAAATCCGCGAAGCTCAACCCTTCGGTTTCAGTTGCGACGGAAATCGCTTGGATTCTGGGCCCTACAAGATTGAGCTTGGCCAAGTCGTTTGGTTTCCTTTGCACCGCAAAGCAGGTTTGGTGGAAGAAATTTGGCTGGAAAAGCAAATCATCTGGATCTCGGTCAAAGCGTTCATGGAAGTCAAGACAGAGCCTGGGTGTTTAGTGTTTGCAGAACCACTGCAAAGAATGCGAGCCTGCCTGCAGCAGCACCAATTCTTGCTGCCGCCTTGCTGGATGCTGGAAGGAAACTCTTTGACGATGTTGTTCTGACTCTGCAGTGGTCGCCGCAGCGAGCGGTCTGAGGAAAAGACTGCAGCCAGTCCGGGGATGCATACTGCATGCACTCATGCGATGCTGCCCTTAAGTCTCTATATGAGCTGGAAGCCTTGCACTCCCATGAGCCGGAAGGTTTGCATCTCTTTTTAAAGCAGTTGATATTTGCCGGACGTCTTGCGTGAGTAAATAGTCGCAGAAAGCTTGCGAGTAACTCGGAAAGTTTGCGCCTTTGTGCCTTTGTCTGCCATGGTGTGTCTTTGCGTCTCGATTCTTGTTGTTTCTCCGTTTCGTTATTTTAAGCCTGTATAAGCTAACTTTTTCTAACTTATGTTAACTTATGTTATCTTTTTAGCTAACTTATTTAACCTCTTAGTATCATGTATATCTTAACTTAAGCCACACGCACTATCTTAGTGGGGAGTACGGTGTGTTCATGATCATGGTGCTGATGAATGATGATGATGACGGTGATGATGATGATGATGATGATGATGGTGATGGTGATGCTGATGATGATGGCGACGATGAGGATGATGTGACGAATGGCCTCAAGGAGTCTTGTGAATATTGCTACTACCTGACAGCCATGTGATGGCCGCTCTCGCGAAGCACAGTGCCGAAGGCTTGGGATATCTCTAGTCGGACATATCAGCTGATGTGGAAAGGGCGGGCAGTCGTCACCACTGTAGCTACATTTGTACTGTAGCTACCCCTGTCAAACGCTTGCAAGTTTTCTGCATATGCGCATGCTTGAATAATGGCTCCTGCCGAGTTCCCCATGATTTCAAATCTTCCGTTCTACTCACCTGCGGCTCCAAGTGCCCTTGGCTTTACGACGCAAGATAATCGTTTGGTCAGGTGAACACTCCAGAGGTCCGTATTCACAACTGCCTTTATCGCATCCTCTAAGAGAGCTATCTACGAGTACAATCTGCTCCCAATCGTAAGGCGTCTCACACGGGGCACCTGGTGAAGCCTCCTCCGTGCCGAGCGCAGCAGGAAATCCTTCACAAAAGCCACGATTCGCTCCTGCAGCTGGGTTTGACAGGCTTCTGGATTTTTTATGATTCTATAACCCCCCCTTAGAACCATAATAAAAATGACAAGAAAATTCCCCTGGTTGTATATGAAAAAACAAAAGAATCCTAAGGAGACTACAGCTTTCTGGGATCGGATGTGGAACCCATCGCAAGAGACCAAGGCATCTTGCTCTTTGAACAGTTACCAGGGGCGGACTTTGGCTACTCGAGCGATGATGTACTGAACATCAACGACGTTGCGGCCTCTATTGGTCAACGCGCTTGCATTGAAGGATCTTCTTCAGCCAAAATCTCACACACAGCACCTAGGGAAGGGAGCAACAGCACCCCCAAATTCACCCTTAGCCTTAAACCCAAAAGCCCAACCTAATCCCGAGACCCTAGAACCCAAACCGTGAATGCCCTCCCTTAGCCCAGCTCCCCCTGGAAAATTCCTCGCTCGCTCTCTGCCGCGCCGTCTCGTGTCGTCGGCTCAGCTCCTCACACTACAAAGCAGGCTCGGGGTCGTGAGTTATGCTGCTATAAGGTAGGGGCCTTTATGATTAGACTGCTGTTTTTGGGGTATTTAAACAAATACTAAGTATGCATATATAGTATTGTGCATATTGGTAGTTATTCAGACGTCTAGATTGTGCAGGCCGATGGCTTCAAGCTGGCTGGGGATTAGGGTTTAGAGTTTAGTGTCTCGTTCTCGTACGTACTCGGTTGAAAAAACTGCATGCTGCTACGTAAAGGATCACACCTGAAAATGCGATCAGCCCTTCTCAAGACGTCGTCTCGTGCCATATAGTCATGGTACAGATCGAATTTGCCCTTGCTTTGTTAAAGCCGTTGCTTCACCACCGCTGTGCAGAACAAGCTAAGTTGTGAGGTGAGAATGTACAGCACTACGGCAGGACAGAGCCGACTGCACTAGTGCAGGCCGCAAGCACCTGCCTCTACGGTTCTCCTTTTAGGTACCAGCACATATAGTCACGATCGTAACAATAGTAATGTTGGAGACCACAATACCGTACAACGACCAGCATAGCATACTCATCTGAGAATCAAAGTAGCAAAACCTGGAATAGGGGTTGGTAGGGTTGATGATATAAATCCTGCATTACCCACTATAAGGAATATACCATAATTCCCATAGTTTAGGATCCTTAAGGTAATGCAGGATTTACATCATCAACCGTATGACTCTTGCTACGAACAGCACTGCAGGGCCTGCGACACTCGCAGCCAGCGTGTTGAAGCCAGCGCAAGCACAACCTTCAAGAGATTGAGCAGCAGGCTCCCCACTGCACGGAGCTTAAGGAAATTATAGGTATAGGGTCCTCAACAAGTATAAGCAAAGTTGTCGCTATTTCACTAATTCTACCATTAGGGAGTTTAGGGTAATACAGTGAGCCAGTACTCCGACCCATGCATAGTGTCACCTGTGACGGAGCATACGGATTGTCTGTTTTGGGAAACTGGTGAAGTCAAAGCTCCGGGTTTCGTGGTATACTACACTTTAATTGATTAGGAAACCCCCAAGACCCTATTCTAATTACCAAGGCCCCGATAATAAATAAACCCGAGCTGAACCCGCAGCTGTGTCAGCTCGCTCGCCTCTTTCCTGCCTACATCGAGCTTCTCTTCGCTGACCACCCGCCTGACACCGGCAATCAGTCGCTCAGGGAGTCGCCACACTTCCCTCCGTTTAGGGTTTAGGGTATTACATGGTACAGCCTACTGAGAGCCCTGAACTCAGCATCACTAAGATGCTGCTTCTTGCAAGTTCGTGGCTATCAGCGGCACCCCGAAAAAGAATGGAATCCAAATCTCAGGTCAGGTTTAACGTTTCGCACCTATGATGTGCTGAGCTGCCTGAGCAAAAGGGACTAGTTTTTACAGCGATAACAAAAAAGGAAATTGTTTGCGTTGTGCACAAACGATGAGCCAGGCAGATTTCTCTCTACTCTTCCAGAGCAGTGTATATGCACTCCGCTTCAAGAAGCAAGATGAAACCTTTGAGCTTTGAGTCTGCTTGCTCGCCGGTTTTACACGAGAAGGCGATGACAACATCCCATGAACCGCTATGGAGTTGGACACTTCGCGATTTCGGGCTGCTCCTGTCTTGGCGGCACAAGGTAATAAAGCAAAAGCCAGAAAGTTGGAATATGATTATCCTAAACCCTTTATGGTAAATTATAAGGTATCCTACCCTGAAACCATATTCCAACTTTCTGGAGTTCCCTTTAGAGTGCTCAGGAACAGCCTCCAACGAAGCCAACTTCGTTGCAGCCACTGTTCTCTCCAGCGGCGCTGCAGCCATGCCTCCGCGAAGGGAACCCTGGACACGCGTTGTAGCAAGAAGCACCAGTTAGCGGTAAGAGAAGACATGAGCAGACGAGAGTAAGTGGTTGTCAAAGCAACAAACCGGGTTCGGGACCACACCGTCCTGCACGATAAACAAATTGCGAAAACGCATGGAGTCATTGCTACGCCCATAGCTTTAGGATACAAGGTGCAACTAGTCATACTGGAATCGCGCTCTGGTTGCTATTCTTGCGATGGCTGGGAAAATGAGGTAGTTACGTCTTAAGATCCTCACTATAAGCACCCAAACAAGGTACCTATATTCAGAGTACCTACAGCTCTATTCAAGCAGTGCTCGCGTCGTTTTGGACAGAACCGTTTCACGCCTTGGGCTCGATCATTATGGCTTTAGGAGGAAACCGAAGGGCCGTCACAATTGGAAAAGGGTCTTGCGGTACATGGCACTACATTAAAACCCCAGTAACATCCTCTTTTGGATAGGAACACCACTGGACCACAGGAATGCCGCGAAGGGTTTGGAATTGCAGGTGTTGCTTTTAGGCTTGAAGTCTCGAGCTACCGTTGCGGTTTAGGAGTTGTGGTTTTCAGTACAGCCTACTTACAGCCACCGTCTAACTGACGGCAGTCATATGACAATCGCCTCCGGGACCATGCGAAGCATCCCTGGAAGTCCTGCCATCCCCGCAAGCATCTGACGCTGTGTATATACATACGTGTATGTTCATGTATATACATGTGTATGTGTGTATATATATATATGTGTGTATGTATATGTACATACACATACATACATACATGCGTACATACATACGTACATACATACTTAAACATACATACCTTCATCTCGCATGTGTAGATAGTTAGATAGATAGCTAAATAGATAGTGTTGGTTTTTGTTACCTTCTCTCTCCCTGTCTCTCTCCCCTCGAGCTCATGACTGGTGGCCTTTACAGGCGGCTGGCTTTTAGGGTTTCGGGGTTCGGGGTTTAGGGTTTATAAACCCTAAACCCTAAACCTGGTGCAGTCTGACTCGTCTTTTCTCGCCTTCCACATAGAGGTCGTTAACCATGAAGCTACAGCAACAGAGCATCTGCTGCGAAACCGCTCACTCAATTAGGAGCGAGTGCTGCCGATCATCCGCCAGCTGAAACAACATCAGCCCCTCCATGATGCTCTTGAGGTCTTCGGGCATTTTATCCCAAGAAGAGCGGGTTAGCTCCCAGACCTCTGCATACCCGGACATGCGTGATGATACCTGCAGCATGGGCAGCATCTTGTGATCTACAAGACCCTCCTCGCCGTGCAGGAAGAAGGAAGTCTTTCCCACGATATGTCCAGGGGGGTACCGAGCCCTCAAGCGCTTGTTGCCTCTTCCAGTGAAGCCCTTCACCTCGGCGTGAAGCTTGCCGCTTCTGGCGACTGTGATGTCCTCCCCAATCTGCTCAAACTGGGCGATGGCGCCCCGGAATATCAGGTACAACCTGGGCTCTTGAAATCTGAGTTACCATAGCAAGGAGATCATACTATATGATATAGATCCCTATTATGGTACCTGAAATAAACTCCTTAACGAAATTCCAGCAACGTGGGCTCTTGGTCGTGCGTAAGGCTCGTATAATGGGGCAGCCCATTACGAACTTGGCACAGTGGCCGGAGCCTCGCGAGTGTGCCGCGAGGGACGAAGTTCATGTCTTCAAACGCTTGCTCGGGAAGCCGCTCGCCTTCGGGTTACTTTGTTACATTGTAGAAGCTTATATTACATTTGAAAGTCTATTATACTATACTATACCATACCATACCACACTATACTATGGAATAGTACCTGTAGTAAACGACCTGACGCGGACAAAGACACGCTGCCTTACACTACCCCGGCAACCCGACGCTTCGTGTTGAACCGCTGTCCTTGCTGACACGCTCGTCTATAGGCACTCTTGTACTCCTCAACATGAGCATTGTAGCAGTACCTGGCGTGGAGACTCAAACCGGCGGGAGAATCCGATGTGGGGTCAATAGGATCCTCGAAGCAATACAATAGTCAGGGGCGAGTTATTCGCTTGGGAGGGTGGGGCAAGCAGCAAGAAATCTTGGGTCTGTGTTTTCTACTGACGCCAAATACATCTCAATGCGTGACATGAGACATGATACTGGCTTTCCTGTCTGAGTCTATTCCTCATGCATACATTATGACAGCTCAACATTTCCTGGTATCTCGTACCGTACAAGCTAAGGCTGATGGCATGATATAGCCTACTTCTACGGGGGCGATACGGGAACATCACTGTAAATCAGTATTCAAACCGTTCAAACCCTTACATGAGTCCCATCTTGCAGCCGAAGCACTCTCCCAGCAGCAAATCGTTGCAATAGTCCTTGGGAGCAAACTAAGCTGGGTGACAGCAACCGATGGGCCCTAAACCCTACATCTCAGACCAGGATTTTGCAACTTTGGCGTCTAAACGCTAGATTGCAGGCTACGATTTTCTGACTTTTTGGGGTCACGCCATGCTTTAGCATCAGCCCTTCGGGTACCGACCGACGAATACTTGATAGCTGTCATGGCCAGGCCATCATCAACGGGAGACCCAAGGTTCAGGGCACTTAGGGCTTAAAGGGTTTAGGGTCTAGGGTTAACAAAGTCAAACAGAAGCAGAAGCAAGGGCTCTTGCGAGACGTTGTTCTCAGTTGATTGCACAGCCTCGAAACTCGCTTATCAATCGCCGAACAATTGCCCAGGTACCAAGGCATCCGACTCGGTGTCGAAGGCATCAAATGCACCCGCGCCCAATGGGCGGAAGTTGCATGTCATCCGTCGGTGCAACCTCACGGAGGTTTCGACAGAACACATGTCAAACCTTCAACACCGGAAGAATGAAAACCTCTCAAGATTATGCCCGGGTGCCGTCCACTGGTTCCCTGGCAGGACTCGGCATCCAAGTCTGTGTCGAAATCCTCGAACATCTTCAGCTCCTCGGTGGCGATGTCTACGCCACGGTCTTGGAGGACCTCTCTGCCAGCGGAATTCTGCGTTTTGGGGCTTGAGGTCTGTAGGGTGTTGCCACTTGATGCCCCGGCTGCTGGTCCAATAAGCTTTTGCCACACCTTTTGCCGCGTCGCTTAAATGCCACACCGACATTTATTTAGTTTTGCCTTCCGTCTTCAACCTGTCTGCTGCAACTATAGACATGTCGCAACAGTCTCCCTCAACCCACAAACGCGAAGCACTACCTGAAAAGCCAAGGACATGTCTTACGAGGCAGACAAGCTACTACAGCTGGCATCATGACCTCTATACCACCACTGCGAATAATCATAACTCAGTCATTAACTAAACCCTAAACTCATGGCCTAGGCCGCCCACCTTCGATGGTGGGCGGCGCTTGAGCTTCTCGACATCGATGGCGCAGGTCGATCCAGGACGCTCGCCCGCCGTTCCACAGACAGGGGTACTGTAGCACCCGGTAGGGACACGTTTTGCCGGAACCAGAAGCCCGGGGCTTGGAAGCTCCAGCGAGCAGAGTTCCAGGAGCTAGGGGCCTCCTGGCTGGTCTTAGGGGGGACTTGGACAAAATTTGCGTTGCCGCTGTTCCGCACCACTGGGCCCGCCTGGCCGCCCCCCCTCTGCTGGCCCCCCCTGCCCTTCCTGGCCCTCCTGACCTCCTGGCCCCGCCGGCCCGTACCTCTTGCCGTACTCTGCCCTACTCTGCCCTGCCTTTTCGGAGCAGAAGCTTGGCTGCAGAAATGTGTGGTTGTTGTTACCAACATGGACCTAACAGAGTTCAGGTCCTAAACCCTTTTAAAAGGTATAGGTTTGGGTGGTTTGCCGCCTCAGACGGCGTGGGGTGGGTGAGTTATGTGATGGCCCGCCACAGTCGGGCCATGGCTGCGATTCGCAGGCAACAAAACCGCTAATAAATCCTACAATCCCTGTTACACTACCGCTACGCAATCTTGCAGCAAACCCTAAACCCTGAACCCTGAACCCTATACCCTAAACCCAAACCAGAAACCTTCAGCAAAGCTGAAGGTCAGCCTGGCGCAGAGCGGGGTCCGGTGACTTGATTGCTCCAGCCATGGAGAGCTCCTCAGGGGTTAGGGTTTAGGGTTTATGGTTTAGGGTTTAGGGTTCCATGAAACAAGACGGCAAATGACATGGGAGTTTCCGAAAATAGGGGGCCCTAATATAGTACCCTAAATAGTAGGATCCTTAGTATAAGGACCTCAAAATAAGGAACCCCTAATTTTCGGAACTGGTGACAATAAGCATGCTACCAACTGCTAAGACTGCTTACCACTAACACTGCAACAACCACGCAGCGGCAGCAGTAGGGGTCGTCGTCTTGGTGTTGATGGTAGTAATCGCAGTGGTAGTCGCCGCAGTGGTATTAGTAGCGGTAGTGGCAGTGGTCTTGGCGGTGGTAGCGCTAGTGGTAGTTGTGGCCGTGCTGGCACTGAGTAGTGGGCGTAGTAGAAGTAATAGTAGCAGTGATTAGCAGGAGTAGTAGTCTTAGCAGTGGTGGTGGTGGTAGTAGTAGTAGCAGTAGTAGTGGTGGTAGTAGTAGTGGCAGTAGTCGTACGCGGGTGGTGGCCGTAGCATCAGTAGTACAGTCGTCGTCGTTGTCGTCGTCGCGCAACTGTATTATTCTACTAACTGTATATAATATAAGATGCTGAATTCTTGCATATTAGTATATATGTGTTTGTTGCGTATTGTAGTAACTGGCACTGGTCGTCGACGTCATGTACGTGGTCGTCTGCATCCATCGTCCTCACGCAATACTGCGACCTCTCGGTATTGACATAGCTGTCAGCGTCATCGTGGTCATGCCGGTCCTCGTCACCAAGTCGACAGTCATCATGGCACCATCACCACCACTGTCGCCTCTAAAGAATAGCATAGCTATCATCAGCCACAACAACAATGTAACAAACACAACAAAATCATCAGGAGCAGCATTATCATAATTGCCGCCGGCACGACATGCATGCTAATCGATCACAACAGAATTGGACTTCCACACACTTAGTAGCATGGCCCAGGAAGGTACAGATGTCTGGTTGCAGGATTGGGGAGGGTGGGGGGTGTGCCGGACATGCGTTGTGGCAGTGAGAGCCGGTGCGAGGCTGTGCAAGTTTGTCGAGTTGGATAACTCCTGGAAGACGTCTGGGGACATTCGGCTGAAGAAGACATGGACGCCACTGCGGAAGGCCTTCTCCACCTGCCGAGGGCAAAAATCCAGAAACTACGTCTGTAACGAGCCGGAGCCGGAACCCATCAGGATATGATTGTTGTACTGCCTTATCAAGGACTCCCAGAAAAAAATCGTCTGCTGCAAGGGCTTCGACTGGGCCGAGACACGGAGGTCTTGACTTGCTTGGCGGCAGATGCGTCAATGTCAATCCTAGTTTATGGTTGGGGGAGGACTAAAAATGCGTATTTTTATCCCTTATTGGGTTTAAGTACCCATAAAATGTAAAATGTTACCCAACTACGACAAAGAATCACTCGCGAGAAGCTCAAGACGCAGTACTTCAGGCGCCCCGCGGCGTCGTCGGTGGCGGTGTTCAAGACTTGGGAAACTTGCTCAGCGGAGCCGAAGAAAAGCCGACCCTGCAGGAAGAGCAGAACGATTCGGTCTCCTTCCTTTCGTAAGACACGGAGCTCCCAAACAGGGCGCTTCGTACGACCCATACTCAGGTGTCCGGAGCTCACGCCACTGACCGGAGTGCCCTGCGAGCTTTGCCACAAGAACTCGAAGATGCTCAGTGCCAACCCGGTGCCAATGCCTGCGAAAGGTGACCACACCACGGCAACAGCAATGCACGCGAGGGTGATACCGTACTCAGGAGAGGGTAGCCGGACGCCAGCCAAGGTCACCTTTGAGGTTGGCAGATGACGGTAGGACAGCAGCGCATCCTCCACGAGGCTGATGGAGCTATTCATAAACAGTGCTCCCAAGAACCATGTGGGGATGAGGTAGCCGATCGGCACACCGGAAAGGAAGAGGCCCCCACCTCCATCCAGGGAACGAAATATAAGGGCTTCGGTGTCAACAACAACCAAACTCCAACGCCCTTAAAAGACAATTTCACAGAAATGACCCAACTAACATGAACTCTGAAAGGAGACCCAATACCAATCCAAATCACGAGCCGAGAAGCAGAAAAGAGCACAGGTAAACACGGACACGCGGTGGCTGCCGCCGTCCATTCGAAGCTGCACTGAGCTTCCTTGTAACAGAGGCCACATCTACAGCGTAATGCAAGCACAGATGCCTACTAGAGCTGCACAGCTTCGAGATACTCAGTTTATGAGAACGGTAGCTGTGTCAACTGAAAACTACCTGGCCTCATGAAACCGCAATATGCCAACAATTCTGCAGATCCACAAAACTCGAACCTGAGGCCTCAACCCTAAACCGCCAACCCTGAACCCACAGACCCTAAAGTGACCCTAAACCCTTAAACCCTGAAGCCCAAATATCCTCATAACTGCATACCAAAACCCTACATCAACCTGTTTCCAAACGAGAGAAGGCGTCCCAGGCGGTGAAAGGCGATGATGCCACCACACATGCCCAGCAGAAGGTCCTGGGTTCTGGGGTTCTCAAGTCTGTCAGGGGTTTGGGTTTGGGGTTTAAGGTTCAGGTTTATAATGTATAGAGCTTGGAGTGGTGGTGAGGTTTATGGAGCTTTAGGACGCTATGAGTGCTAGGGTTTCTAAGTTTAGTGCTTAGGGTTCAGTGTCTGGGGGGTTTTTAGGGGGTGTGGGTTCAGCATCCTTTATTAAGTGCGAGGGTTCATTGCTGGCACAGAGTTGGGTTACGGCCTTGGGTTCAGTTATCAAGCCGCTTGGGCTCGGGCGCCAAACGGTTCTTGAACCACGCTTTTGGAAATAACAAAGCGCGTTGAATGCCAAGGATGCTCACCTTCTTCAGAAACTCAAGATGCTTCGAGTTCCAGTGGCTCCTGTTCTAACAACCAACGCTGCCAAGGCACCACCCAGCCCACTGTGAGCAGCTCCCGGTCATAGTCTAGTGCCTGCAAGGACGTGGCAGCTCCTCTTGCTACCAACCCTGTTCATGTGTCCGCATCAGCGAATATCACGAAATATGACCGGCTACTAGTTCATGCAGCGATGTATGGAGGTGGCGGTGCGAGTGATTGATGATGCTGGTCAGCGTGCTGCAGTCATGTTCGCGATATCTGTCGTACCTGTCGCAGTAGTAGGGACAAACCCGCCGCCATCATGCATATATATATATATATATTAATATATATATTATATTTTATATTATATATATTATATAATATATATTATATATTATATATTATATATTATATATTATATATTATATATTATATATTATATATTATATATTATATATTATATATTATATATTATATATTATATATTATATATTACATATTACATATTACATATTACATATTATATATTATATGTTATATATTATATATTATATATTATATATTATATATTATATATTATATATTATATATTATATATTATATATTATATATTATATATTATATATTATATATTATATATTATATATTATATATTACATATTACATATTATATATTATATATTATATATTACATATTATATATTATATATTAGATATTAGATATTATATATTATATATTATACGTGCATGCAAGAAGGTCTTGGAATCGGTTGCACAGCAATCCCAAAGCAGGCCGAACCCAACTGCCCGAATTGAGGCTGTTGCACTCCAGACCTCAGACCCTTCTAAACCCTAAGCCCAGAAGAGCCCCAAGGAGATCCTATGCTTCAGTTTAAACTCGTACAAACCGGCTCGAACCCCCATAGACCCTCATAAACTCTTCTAGACCTCTATCTACCCTCTCATGAAACCCTACAAGCCAACATCAACCTTTCTGACCCTAGCCCCCAAACCCTAACCCCTCCTAAGAGCCTCGAGCCCCCTAAGATCCGGCCCAGGTGCATCCGTGGGCGCCGGATCTCCCGGAGGTCCAGTTGGGAACCTCGAGGGGGACGTGCTTTGGTGTTTTTTTTATCAAAGTGTAGTATGGTGAATTGCTTTTATTGCGGTGTATACTAGCATCTTCTAGTACGTGATAGTGCATGTTGTTGTCGACCACTATAGCATATCATTATTCATCACAGTTTTTTGTTTGTAAATTCAAAGATGCTGTAGACTAATCTAGTTCATTGTAGCTCTGTGCAGGGCGAGCTTAGCTTCCAGGTTTGTGGTGTGGGGCTGCGATTTAGGCTTTCGTCTAAGCCTAGCCTTCGAACATTGAGTTCATGGGATCGCAAATTTTCAGGTGCAGGGGTTGGACGAGAGGGCGGGCCTTCTCGCAAACATCTGAGGCTTGTACTTTCGTTCTGGCCTATGTACGGGGACAAATCACTATGAATGTGGCACGAGTAATCCCATTCCGGGGCATTTAGAACCCGCGATTCGGGCGATCAGAACCGTAATGAAACTCTGAAACCCTACTGTCACCCTACTTTCAAGATCTGCAGATCTGCACACAATTTACAGCTGTTTCAAAGAGGGCAGGTGCTAGCTGTTAAGCTCGAGTCGGAGAGCAAGGGAGACCTTCGCTGTCGAAGAGCCCATGCAGGGGATCTAAGAGTTAGGATAAGTCTTGGGTACATCATAGCATATCATGGTATACATAATTGTACATACATATAATTACGGAACCGTAGGGATGCTACCGGATGCTATGTTTCGCTCATGGTACCTTGATCTGATCCTCCTCCAAGGAGCTTTCCTGCAATGCCAAGTGCCCCGGTCATCGTGCAGAGCACCTCAGATGAATCGAAGGTTTACATGCAAGGTGCCCGCGTGCTTTGTATGGATCTTCATTTCCAAAACTTGGGAGGTTCGTGCATTGCAACTCAAGCATACGAGAAAGCAGGTCTTCAAAATACAGCGTGAACAAACAAACATTCGCAGGAATTTCTGCAGAAGTGCAAATTCACGCAACGTTCATGCTCCCCTGCTTTACTGTTGAACACATGCTGTATTCCTCGTGCTGCTACAGTACCCGACTAGAGTATTAAGTTATTGTAGCATTATAAAGGCTAAGACGAAAACTGGGACCAAAGGCTGTCTTGAGGCGAGCCATTCTTTCAGCTTTCCAGTCCCGTGGCACTCTAAGCACCGGCTGACAGTCCTCAGGTATGATATAGTATACTGCACTCAAATCTACTCTGCTATGATGTACTATACTAAGCTATACTATTATGTCCAGCCACGTTTGCCGACGCTCGCAAGACTGGCGCACCAGACGGCATTAACGGGTTACGTCTCTGCGTCTGCAGGCGATACAAGATATACGAGGTGGCAATTTGCTGGCGGACGAAACGGAGTCGCAACATCGCGTGAAAACACCATTGGATTGTTGCGCAGAAGCAGGCAGCAGCGACGACTTCCCGTTGCTCTCTCACGAAGCCTTTCCACACGACTGCAGACGAGAAACAGAGAGCTTGTCAACTGTGAGGAACTCTTGTCTCAAAGATCTTGCTGAGAAAGGATAGATACAGTAGGGTTTAGGGCTTAGGGTTTAGGAGAAAGGATAGATACAGTAGGTAAATCTGCGGGTATCTCTTCCAGCCGCAGCACCGACATCATCACGATGAGCCCCATAGACGGTAGACTGGCCCAGACCTTGGAATAATCGCACTGACATGATCAGATTAGATTCGCAACGGGCAGTTATAGTGTCATAGTCCGAGTTCATGCAACACGGTAGCGACGCCAATGCGGCTGTGTTCCGGGCTCTGCGTTCCATGGGCTTGGGGGAATTCTGCAGCTGTCACTGCGTCATTGCTGCGGCAGAGCTTTCTCGATAAGCATACTCCGGGCCGGGAACGCAAAATCCCGGGTCGAGTATGAGGGGCCTGAGCAATTAGAACAGGGCTTCGGGCTGCCTTGCATTATGAGTATCACAAGGAACTCTCAAAACTGATATAGCGATTCTTCCGAACCCTGTAATTTCACACCTAAACCCTAAATTCTAAACCAAAACCCCAGACCCCTAAACCCTGTTATAACCCCTACCAAACCCTAAACCCCCCTATAGCCCCTATGAACCCTAAAGCCGAAAAAGCCTGAACCGACACCCTAAACCCTAAACCCCCTTATAACCCCTATAAACCCTAAATCCTATGAAGCCTAAACCAAAACCCTCAACCCTGAAACCTTGATATCCCCTCTAAACCCCTCTACAATCCCTGCAACGCTATACCCTCAAGCCTAAACCAACACCCTAGATCCTAAACCCCCTTATAACCGCTATAAGCCCTAAATCCTATAAATCTTAGATCCTAAACCCCTTTATAACCCATATAAACCCCTTTGTCTACCCCTCTAACGCTTTTCCGGCTATACCCTAAAGCCTAAACCAACACCACGGGCCCTAAACCCTCTTATAAGCCCTACAACCCTATAAACCCTAAACCCTGAGCCCTAAACCCTTTATCAGGAGCCTAGGGGCGAAGTTCCAGTTAGCCCCGGCCCAGCTTCCTTCGCGCCAGAACTCCGAAGGCCGCGAGGAGCCCTTGAAGCGAGTTGTCTTAGAGATTGGGGTTTAGGCTTTATGGTTTCGGGTTTAGGGTGTAGGGTTTAGGGTTTCGGGTCTAGGGTTTATGGTTTAGGTTTGAGGGGTTGACTAGGGCTCAGGAGTTAGGGTTTGGGGCTTAGGTTTGGGGCTTAAGGGTTCATGGTTTCGGGTTCGGGTTTGTGGTTTAGGGTTTCGGGGTTCATCAGGGCGCAGGATTTAGGGCTTGGGTTTAAGGCTGCGTCCTCATAGTTTGGGGTTTAGGGTTCAGCATTTAGGATTTAGGGTTTGGGTGAGCTTCGGGTGATCCAGTGGGGTGGTTGGCCGCACTGGACCTTCCCATGTCACACATGTTTAGAACTCTTTAACTCGTATGCACTGGCAAACTTGCAGGTCGATACATGTCTGTGAACTTACACTGTTGCGTGTTGATGTGTTATGTGTACAAAGATGCACAAGCAGAAACTTGCACCGACATCGACATCGGATGTGACTATGCATGCTCTATGGTAGCCTCTCTTGTGCTCACACATGTATTGTTATGGACAGGACCGTCAGACAACCAGGGAGCATTACGAACAGGTAGACGGAACGTCATCTGAAGTGCAGATACGTGTGATGCCTCCTCGCCTCTACACATACATATTTATTCATGTAAGTCATCTCATTTCATGTCAGCTCATGGCATTTCATGAAAGTGACGTGAGTTTCACCCAAGTGAGCCTTGAAGGTAAATCCTCAAGCCACCTCGCATCTCCACATCCCGAAACCTCAAAGCCTGTGGCATCAATTAGAGCTGAAATGTGATCTTCCACCAAAAGTTTCAGTGGCGCTGCATCCCTGCCTGTCGGGGGTAGGTCCACCCTGCTTCGGAAAGATCCATCATGTCCACACCTGCTATCCTCGGGTTCAGGTGGGGTGTACTTTAGGACCACTAGTTGCTTGTGATTGGAGACTAGCTTGCGCTTATCCCTGAAACATATTTTCCCAATGCCGGAGAAGGACTGCACCACCAGATAGAAGAGGAAGAGCGGCACAAGCTGACAGGCAAGCCCCCCCAGCTTCTTCACCGGGGCACTCTTCGGGAAAAGCTTCACAAGCCTGGGTGGCACCTTCCGCATGAAGACCAAGGCCCCAAACATGCAGGCGACCCTGGCCAAGGGCTGGACTTGCAGAAACTGCTCAAAGTCCTGGGGCCAAAGGTAGCGGAACTTCACGCCCGAAGAGATCTGCAAGGAGGACTTGAAGATGAAGAAGCCGATGGAGCCCAGGAACCCGCTTGTAACAGGCGCTGGGAAAAGAAGCCTGAGTCGTTACTAGTATCAAGTCTGATGCAAAGGCTCCTTGGTTATAACTATGATCTACCCCGAAACTCTTTTCTAGAAACCTCCTATATAAACCCTAAACCCCCTTCTAGTTATCAAGGCAACATGAGCTTGCCAAGGCCAAGGTGACCAAAGACGATCGAGGCAATCCCCGTCAGGATGGTGCTCACGGCGATGATCGCCAGCTGCGTGGGCACAATCCTCCATTCTACAGTTACCTTGACCCCAAGTAACCTGCCTTGTTGTGGACTTAGATAAGGAGATCATTCTAGGGAACCCTAAAATGGTAGGTACTCTAGGGTCCAGGTAGGGTTTAGGGTTGAGTGGGGTTTAGATTTAGGGTTTATGGTTTAGGGTTAAAGTCACTCTAGGGGATAGTCTGGGAGAGGACTACGGTTTTTTTTATGCTTCTCGAAGGCTACTCTTATGCTCCTGTGGCTGAGAATCCATGAACCCAAACTGGCAGGAAGATAAAGTCTCCCTAAACACTGAACCCTAAACCGTTCCATCCCAGCCCTCTGGTACATGCCACTGAAAGTCGCCGGTCTCCGAACACCAAACTCATACTCCACACCCTGCATCCAGGCCACACAGCCCATAAATCCGAAACCCTAGACCCTATAAGCCCCAAATTAAAATCCCTCATCCATACACCCTTTGAGCCCTAAACACCATAAACCCTAAACCTTCGCACCAATTCAGATCCCTGGCCCTAGCTGCTTGTCCTTTCCGGTTCACTCGCCAGAGCAACTGCTACCTGCCAGTTGAGAGCTTGGAGCTTCGGGAGTCTAGGCCTGCGGGGTTGAAGAGAATTGAGGGGTTTAGGATGGTTTAGGGTTTAGGGGCTTAAGGTTTAGGGTTTAGGGGTTTAGGGCTTTAGGGTTGAGGGTTCATTCTAAGTCTCAGTGGAGCACAATGCAGGGTTGAGGGCAGAGCTCAGGTTGGGACAGCTCTGACGTCGAGCAGTTCAGGGGTAAAGGGTAGTTTGGCCTTGGGTTTGGACAATTCGGCTTCATAGGGGAGTTTCCGAAAATTAGGGGTACCTCATTTAGGGGTCCTTTTAATAAGGATCCTACTATTTCGGGTACTATATTAGGGTCCCCTATTTTCGGAAAATCCCGTAGTGGTGCAGTACAATCAACGAGGTAACGCTGTTCATGTACTTCTGCTTCATGACCATCACCCTGTTGACCACCATCATCGCTGGTCGGTCTCGGTAACGAAGAGACTACCACCCATTCTAACTGTGTAGCTGGCTCCTTGGGAGGGTCCGGAATCTTCGAAGTAAAGCCCAAAGTTTTTTTTGGGGGGTCTCAGGTCTCAGAAGTCCCGCTCTCCGGGCTTCAAGACTATCACGACCCGAAGGGCACACGCTCAGCGCATGTTTCTCTTTGGGAGCACTTATAATTAAGGTAACTATACCTATAACTACTTATAACCCCAATAAAGGTACTTATAACCCTACTGACCAAGTCCCATGATCCTCCAAGCAGCCCCACCTGACCCCCCATCGTCCCCCAGAGGATGCCAATGACGTCATTGATGCCAATGAGGCCGGCCTTTTGAGTGTTCGGGGCTTAGGTTTAAGATGTACCGTAGGGTTTGGTTTAAGGTCTAAGGATTCAGGACTTTTGGGGAGCTTAGGGCCTAAGCTTAAGGGCTTCGGGTTAGAGCTTCAGGTGCGGAGGGCTTCGGGACACCGGACAGACTTATACATATCCTAGATCCTGGGCTTTTGGGTTGGGGTGTAAGGGTAGCAGCCACATGACGACTAAACCCTGCATCCTAAACCCTACCTTCGTTTCCAAGAATTTCAAGCCTGCATTCGCCCGAAAGCGCCATACCACGCAGCCGAGATCGCAGAAGAGAGCCTGGGTCCGGGTCTTAATATAGGGGCCGTAATGGTTAGAGCTATAAATATGGTAAGGAAACCACCAAAATAGTATTGGTAATTATTAAGGCCCCTCTAGTACCTTCGGGGTCTCAATAATTGGAGTAGGGCTGTTGGGGTATATTCAGGCATGCAGGGACTCTATCGACAGGCCATGAGTGGTTACTTCAGACCGCGCGAGCCGGGGTTTACGGTTCAACGTTAAAGGTTTAGTAAGGTTTGGGCTAGGCTCGGTTTAGGTCAAAAACATCCCTGAGAATTCACCCCGAGGTTCCATGTGCCCAAATAACTCTATCTGGATGCTAAACGACCAGAAAATTCTGAATACAAGTAAAATTTCCAATCTACACCCCCAAACCTTAATCCAATCTTTACACCTCTACATTGCAGCCCCTGCTTTGTCCTTGGACCCTTCACGGCAGGCATGAACTTAACCCAGGCTGTAAGACGGCAAAAGGAGAGTTGGGATAAACAGTTCCATTCACTCAGTGTTTGGCCCCAAACCTTAAACCTGAATCCCTCAAAGCGCTAGATGCACTACTAAACCTTGGTCACAACCCTAAACCCGAATCTTGGCCCCGAACCTCCCCCGAACGAGCTTGTAGGGGCTTTCCCACACAGTTGACCTGCAGCCTTGTAGTCCTAAACCCCTTAACCCCTCAACCCTAAACCATCCTAAACCCTACGCCCTCACACCCTAAACCCTTAACCCCGAAATCGCAAACCGCCCAAATCCCACACCTTCCGTCTAAGGGCAGCCGAAGAGCCACATCATGCTGATGCCGAAGGCAAACATCCCGTTGAGCTCAGGCACGTCGGCTGTCGTGAAGATCAGGCTCGAGGTCATCATGGCTGAGAGACCTTTGCGGGCTTAATTCGAATTTAGGAGTTTAGGGTTTTTAGGGTATAGAGTTTAGGATTCAGGGTTTAGGGTATAGAGTTTGGAGTTTAGGCTTTAGGCTGCTCAAAAAATGTCGGGGTTTAGGGTTTAAGGCTTTGCTCAAGCAGCCGTATAGATGGCTTTAGACTCTGGCTTTGGGGTAAATTATACGGTTAGTTATAAATCCACACCAAGGGGGGAACCCGGAGGAATGCAATGATGTACAGTGTGTTCGTGTTGCTCGGACCCCTCATTATGTTGGGCAATCTTGCTGCAACGACTCGTAACGACCAAGGAACCATTGGATGGTATCATGCCACGCTTACTCTGGTTGCAATTCATCTATGATTACTCGTATCAAATCCTTAAGCCTTAAACCCTATATACCCTGAAAGCCTTTCACCCTAATCCCCATAAACCTTAAACCCCATAAACCCTAAACCCTGAACCCCACAAACCTTAAACCCTAAGCCTTAGAAGGGCCTGCAAAACGGGCCTTGTCGAATGCCGATCATGAGTCCAGCGCCCACATTCGCCACGACCAGAGCCTTGTCCGGGCGTCCATCTTCCAGGGGAACGACCTCAAGGGCAGGTCTCAAAAAAAGGGCTCTAAAAGTGATTCTTGAAGGCTCTGGTGGAAGGTCTTTGTAAGGGCTTAGCCTCAAAAAACAAGGTTTCCAAAAGGATCTTTGCAGGCTCTCCAAGGTTTAAGGGTTAAAGGATCTTCCGGAAGAGCGATCTGAAAGGGCGGCTTTAGACAGGGCCTGCAGTGGTTTTGATGGGGGCAACTGGCGGTTTCAGCGGGGTTCTGCAAGTGTTTTTATCAGGGTTCAGTATTGTTTTGGGTTAGTTAAGTTTGCTGGTTTGGCGGCTTCGGGGCAGAGTGTTGAGGGTACTTGTAACGGGCAAGTCCATCAGCCTCAAACCCCTCAACCCTAAACCTTAAACCCTAAACCCTAAACCCAGGCCGGTGGCCTGACTTTGGCCCGCCTGGCGAAACTTCGGGGCCCGAAACCCCAAACCCAGGCCTCCGGGCTTCAGGGTTGTCGGTAATGCAGGAACCTGATTAAGAAACCTTGGGCCTTGATTAGGGTTCTCTCTCATATATATATATATATATATATATATATATATATATATGAACCCTACTATGTTTTGGGGCCAGGGTTTCCTAATCAGGTTCCTTCATTACATGGGCTTAGGTCTATGTCTGCTCTGGCCTCTTGCCATAGTGGCCACCAGCCAAACAGGTTCGTGTTCTTGGTAGGCGGCTTATTCCTCAGTTGGTGTCCATGTCATGTCCTTTTTTTCTCTCTCTCTCTCTCTCTCTCTCTCTCCCGCCACAGTTCCTACTGCAGCACACAATCACTCAACACTCACTCACTCGCTCAAAGCTTTTCCCGAACATCGTTCTCTTCTCTGATCCTCACGACCCGGCACTTACCAGGGAAGTAGAGCCAACACGCAGTGCCCTGTTCTAACGCACACCCGAAGCTGCAGTTGCAGTCTTATCCGCTCGACCAGAAGCCGGGGCTCAAGAGCAGATCCATATCAGCTGAGGCTATACCGGCATTCCGCGAGTCGACTATGAAAGGATGAGGAATCTTAGCAGGAGCTAGGCGAGGCTGGGAGCTTTTCTCCTTCATGACTTGTACAACCGCAATGCATATATGCAGCTATCTCGAGTGCCTTGCTCTTGCGAAGTTGGATGCACAGACAGTGGTCGGGTCTCGTTTTGATCTTCAGATTCATACTGCCGGCTGCTGGAGCAGAACGGCGACGGAAGTGCAGAAGCTGGGGTCTGGTAGCAAAGCTTCGGCAGGTGGCAGCCTGCATGCAGAACGAGGTAGCGGGCAAATCCGCTCTTCCCGTGCTAGGGCACGCTGTGCCTCCAGCAGATCCGTCCTCACTCGGACACATAGCTCTGAAGGTGGGGACCTTCAAAGAGTCAGCGTGCTGTGAGACAACTGATCCCGACACCTCAAAAGCATCCGAATCCCGTCTCGAAGATTGCGCACTAGCGGACTAGCGCGCTGCACGATACCCGCGTGTCTATCTTGGAGGAAGAGTCCAAACACAGGGTCCGAGGCTCCGTTCCACGAAAGTAGCTACACAGCTACACCACAGATCGCCACCGTGCATCCCCAACGCCACGATCACCAAAAGCCGCAAAATCCGATTGCGTTCTTTCCGGCAGGATCTCTCCCTGAACCACAAACACAGAACACGAAGCGACAGTACGAAGTCGTCACGTCGGCGCACGGCTCCCCATCGACAAATGTTCTAAGCAACTCGAAGATGAAGTGGCATACGCCGCGGCTCTAGCGGACCTTGGGGCTGCCTTACGGTAGTCTTGATTCCATTCACATGAAACCTCTTAGGGTTCCTTTAAAGGGATCTATAAGGGCTCTTAGGGTTCCCTTAAAGGGATCTATAAGGGAACAGTGCACCATCAATGGCATCAAGACCTTGCCTCACAGAACAGTCGTTGCTCTGCGAGAGAGAGGTCGTCGCCTGCTCGACCGTCCTGCCGCACTGCCCTAGGCTCTGGGCAACCACGTACATGCAACATGTATGCTGCAGATATAAGCATATTATGTGTGTGTGTGTGTTGAAACATGCATATGTATGTATGCATGCATGCACGTATGTGTGCGTGTGTGTATCTATGTTGTCTGGTTCAACAGTGGAACCACCAGAGAGGACATGTTATAGGCAGACGTCTACGTAATCTAACTTCCCTTTGCTCATATCGAGCTGCAGGCCGAAACAGAGAGCTTCCCACAAAGACGATCAGCCTCGCTCCCCGCTGATGATTTGTTATGCTTCGGCAGAAGAACAATGATGGCGTTGACAGCAGTGATAATGGCGGTGATGATGCTCGTCATCAGTTTTGATACCTGCAGGTGTAAAAGACGTCCATCCAAGTCAAAAGATCTAGACACAGCCGTCCTGGTGTGCGATGAGGCCCGACTCGGTTGACCTGTTGGAACGGAAAAGCACAAAACCAACTGTAAAAGCCTTAGTAATTGGAAAGGGTTTGGGGAATTTGTTCAAGAAGAATTACAATAATTACAACATTATTCAGACCCCTTGCAAACTCCTTTACTCAGTAGTTTGTGTGTGCTGGCTACGAGGTGCAGGTCTTCAGTTGAGCTTTCGTGAGAAGCAGGCAAGCTAGCAAAGCAAAGCAGGTTCATGTCTTGTGGCCCTAGGTGTAAGCATGAAATTACAAAGCCATTGTAGAGCAGAGCTTCTGTATGGGCGATTGGTCTTCTGGGCTCAGGATTGTGTCGAGTAAATGTCTTAAGGTTGAAGAAGGCCTTCTAGTGCCTCATCCGACCCTTGTAGTTGGGTTTCAGAAAATTCCCGTGGTCTGTGAAGGGGCTTTAGGTTCCTTATGTTTAGACACTCCTACCTGGCCCACATGCGTTAGGATGTCAGAGAGCTAAACCAAAGCAAACGTGAACCATCAAGATGGTTTGAACGTCTGTCAGTTCTGCGGAAGCCCCACCACAACGCAAGTAAAAGCCTCTCTGTTCTCCGAGGTGCTCGAGGGGCGCGCATGTTGCAGTGGCTGGGCAGCTGCATTGTCCGGCGGCACGGCCTCGGAATCGGCGCGAAGAAACTGAAACGCGCCTCGTGGCATGTCAAAAGCATTGGCGATTGACGCTTTTTCGAGCCGCCGTTTCTGTACCTCTCCTTGCCTGTTGTTGTTTCTTGAGGCAACAAAGCAGGTCATGTCCGTCTGTCAACCACTGTGCTGCGACCAAGTTTCGACAGATTGCATTAAAAGTACGCGAAAACGTCAGCCTCGATGCTGATGTCCGACCACTTGCACTCAGCACTCAGACTAACAAGGCCACGAGCCGCGATTGGGTGGGTAGCATCTCAGCCAACACCACTGCGTCACTGCATCTAAAAGCTCGCCTTTGGCCGTAACGATCAAGCGGAAGGTCTGACGGCGATCCGTACACTCTCCCAAGCCTTGTCCGTCATACTCAGACAGTCTGAAGTCTGCACATCCACGCAATTAGCGACAACTTATCAAATCTTCGGAAAGCCAGGACTGTTCTAGGAATGCTTTGCCTGTGTTGCGAAGATAGCTTTCGAACCTTTGCAGAATGTGGGTTTCGGAACCTGGGGTTCACAGATCTCAGAGTTAGCATCATGCTTCGGACACCTCAGGTTCGGACGCTCGGTCGAAGCGCTCCGGCAGAGACTGGTGTGCCTGCAACCACGATCTTTAGCTCTCAGAGGAGTCTAGGCTTCCATTATCGGGTGGTACTATAGGGGCCTTTATAGCTGGAATATGGTCTGGGGGTATACTGTACTATAACTATAACTAGACTAAGGAACCCCCAAAATAGATTGGGAATTATTTAGGCCCCTACCTTACCTTCGACTCATTTGCCTTCATGGTCTGCGAGACCTTGCGGCCTGGTAGGCATGTGGAGGTTAAGGGCGTATCGTACACCACTTAGTACGTTCTGCCAAGATGTGAGACCCTCAAAACCCCCACGGATCATCCAAAACCTCATTCAGCGAAGTAATAATTTAATAATCAATAGACCCAATGGACAACAAGGGTACGAATCAGAAGAACGAGTTTTCACAAAGGGAGGGGCCTCGAAACAGATGTCGGGTCTGTTCCTTAGCACGCGAAGACGAGAAGGTCTTCCAGGACAGAGAGTAGAGACGCCCTGAGGTCGCCACCTTTCGCACGCCGTCCTTCGCAGTGGTCCTGGCAGGTGCACGCAACTATCCCCCTTACAGGAAGTTTTGGATGAACGCCCTACCCCTTTTGGTCGAGGGGTGATGCCCTCAGCATCAGGCATCGTCCCACACGCCAAGGGGACACTGTTCGAGTATTTGCAGCCACAAGGGCATTAGCTGAATGTGCTTTTGCCCTTAGTCTCGCTGCCGGTGCTGTGCGTGTGTGCGTGTTTGGTCGACCACCCCACCCCCCAATGCCCCGCCTCTCTGAGCCAGTGTCCCCAGCTTAGTACTTCGGTGAGAGATCATCGAGGGAAGAGCTTTGTTCCTGCGATGTGGGCTGTCTTGCCAAGTGTCCAATTCCAACCCAAGCCGCCCGGCTTGGGGGGGCGGGCCCATGGAGGTTCGGGTGGCACATCCCTCCCCTAATCCCCGGCTCGGATCGAGGGGCCCGGAGCGTTGAACTCTGCACCGGAGCCCCGATGACGTATGCGGAGGGGCAAAGAAGGCGAGAGGGACCGTTTCCGTAGGCCGGAGAGCACCCCAGGTCGACACTCACTCACTCACTCACTTGGATGAACGCCCAACGAGGACATGGCAGAAAATGACAGCGGTCAACACTTCTTGAGATGCAAGTGCCGTGCCTACTGCACACGGTGATCCTTTAGTCGATAACCATCTAGCATTCCAGGCTTGTCACTTGTTGCCAGTAGCAATGATGTTAGAGTAGCACATGTGTCGGAGCAGGCCTGCGGCTCGGCTCGCTTGGGGGCGTGAACGGACCTCGTGATGCGTTTTGCGTGCTATTGAGGATGATGAGGATGGGCTCCGTCAGGTTGCGACGAAACGTAGGTAATCGGTAGGGGATTCAGGCAACAATTTGCTGACAACCTTGTCCCTCTACACGCTGCACGAAGCATCCCTCTTCTTCAGCGGCTGGGTGCCTTACTGCTATACACATTCAACAGATCCATGCGCCGGGTGCCCGAAGCTTCGTATCGTAACATGTGCCACCCAAGACCCTCAGCAAATCCCAACTCCAGAAAGCAGAATCACGAAAGCAGCTACTCAAGATCCCTTACCCTGCATGTATCGGCCTGTTCACGGAAGATCGGCTGCTACCGAACACAAAATGCGAAGTGCAGGATTGAAGGATGCTGGGCTTTATTACACAAAGACCTCTCTTGGCATCACAAGTACAGCCGTGACGACATTCCTATTCTCCTGATTATTGTCACTTTTGAGAAGATGCTCTGATGATGATGGAATGATGCATAGGAGGATGGCGATGAGCAGGAAGATGATGGTGGCGATGGTGATACTGTTGGTGAGGGCTTTGAACGCTTGGGCTTGAGGGTCAGGGTACGAAAAATGCCAGGGTCTTATCTGGCGGAAGATACGGAATGCCTTTGTCCGATGAAGGCCGGCTGAGGCGAGGAGCCTGGCCACTGACAAAGATATCCCACCAGTTGCGACCACACCAGCATGCAACTCTCACCTTGCTGTTCTGACGAGAAGAGCGCACTGCAGAGCTCGGAAACATCAGGACATGGACGCGCCGCTCCGAAAACGAGGGGGGGGCTGTAGCAGGGCTTGGTTTGGGAAGCAACACTTGCTCGATTCCCCGGATTCTTCAGCCCGTTTCGTCTGAGGGGATGCCTTCGCACCAAGAGATCAACTATGGCTGAAAAGGGAGCCCGCGAAACAGCAGTTGGGCACGTCAAAGGTGTGCATGCTTGTGGCTGAGGCATTCTATGGCTTTGGAGGTACAAGAAGGTGGTCACATAGGCGCCTAAAAAATCACCATGACTATCTTAAAGGGCTTATTACAGCAGAATGGGTCCCAAAACCACCCTATTCTATTCTAGTTATTACTAAGGGCCCCACATTCAGCGACCAGGTCAGGCCGGGAGCAGAGAAACATCCACAT